TGTCAGGCCTAAAGGCGATCTTCTCGTCGCAATCCAATGGCGGACACTGCACTCTCGGGCATTTCACCTCCAACGTGACAGCCTGTAAGATAAATGGACGAGGAACGAATGAGACTCGTAGGCTTCTCGCCTCTCTATCTCTCTCTCTCTCTCTCTCTCTCTCTTTCTCTACCGTCTCTCCCCTCCCTCCTTCCCTCCTGCCACCATGTTCCCTTTCGAGCAATTAAAAGACAAACGCAGGAACGAAGGAAGATATATAGTAACTCGTTCGCTCAAAGAGAATTTTACCTGGTAGATCGAAAGAATAAGAGAAGGAGAACGGGGAAAATGTTCGAAAGTTTTCCAACTTTGCTTCTTTTCTTTACCCCATACCTCGCTCTCTCTCTCTCCCTCTCTTTCTCTCTCTCCTTCCTTCCCTCACTTTTCTTTGAAATACTCATCCAAAGGAAATTGTCTACGTCATCAGGAATAGTCGATCACGTATGTATGTACAGCACCAGTTCTTTCGTGACTGGTCAGAATTTATATATCACATTCTTTCTTACGCAATATATATATATATATATATATATATATATATATATATATACCGCATTCATATATTATCTCTTTGGATTTTCTTAAGATCACGTGTACTTTTATTATTACTTAGAATCGTAATATATGGTATATGGAGAATGACGTTGACGTTGCGAAACGCTTTCGTACGAGTGAAAGTAAATCCTTAAAACGAGTGCATTGGAAGTTTTGATGTTGTTATATCGTCGCAACGGCAAACAAAGAATTTTCACTAGGAAGTAGGAAATCATTGATTCTTTGTTAAACTTACGTCGCAGGTGCAAACGGCACAAGTGTCGAATCCAACCGGTGGTAGATAAGGATGCCATGACGCTCCAGCTGGATGATATTGACCAGCTAATATGCAACTTCTTCCTACGTAAGTGACGTTGCTCTTGCCCGTGATAGTGGTAGTAGTAATGGTAGTAGTAGTACCATTCGTCGCTGTAACTGTAAAAGGTATCAATGTGAAAAGACATTTTCAAATAGTTTCACGTTCGAACGCGCGATTAGCTACTTGCAAACCCGCAGAAAGACGGGGTGAAGGATGGGGGAGGAAGGGAGTAAGGGAGGAGGGAAACGTTGTAATGTTTACGTTGCCACGATATCGTATTCGATCTCTTGGTCAACTGTTGCTAACCAAAGTGGGAGAAGAAGAAACCGCGAAATCGAGAAGACGAATCTTTCGCGCGAGTAACTTTATCTTTTTTTCTGAATCCCGATAGACGAGAGAGAGAGAGAGAGAGAGAGAGAGAGAGAGAGAGAGAGAAACGACTTACCCGAGCAGATAGGACAGCAATGCCCTGCCGCTGGTTTAAGCTGTTTGCCCTGAGAACAGGCAAGGACTGGACAAGGTACCGGATCGCATTGAGCCAATCCACGATAACAGTGACACATGGAGCACGGATCGTTGGCGGATGTCCATTGAGTACCCTCCTCGTAGAATCTGGTCTCATGAAAACAAGCGCCAGTTTCGATTTCCGATCTTGGCGGATGAAGATTGTAAGCAACGACCGAGGCAACGTCGTTGTCGGCGTAATGGGGCAGACAACTGAGAGGTGCCCTGGCCTTAAATGGTGCCTTCAGTAAACTGCCCGCTTGTTTGTCCGTCACTTCGAGAAAGCCAATGCCAGACTCGATCCTGTATAATTCTACAGGTGAGAGTCCAGTGACGGATCCCTCGAGAACGTTTCCTGTGAATTCCTCGAGGAGTCTCCTTGCTACTGGAGCACCCTGAGCTAGAAGCGGCATAGTTTCCAAATACAAACGGAAAGTACGTGGTTCTTGATCGGCGTTCGAGCTCATATTGGGTTGTTCCAATCCAGCTATTTCGAGTTCATAATGAAGGGCACAATCGAGATCAACGGCGGTCCAAATCAAAGCTGTAAGCGCTGGATATTGGGAATCGTCGGTAAGTCTTCTCAATAAAACCGGTGCTGCGGTATCCCTGGCATCGGCAACTGGCCTTTGAAGAAGACGGCCACGTAAAAGTGAACCTAAATGAGAAGCTGCGACGACCGAGAGTTCACCGTTGAACAATGGCTCGAGGAAACGTGGCCCAGGTCGATCGAGTGTACCATTAGCAAAACCATCTCGTAAAGATGGAGTAAGATCTTCGAGTTCTGTACGACGTTTCCCACCCTCGTCGACTAATGTTACCAATGGACTCTCCTCTTCCAAACCTATCAATCTAACGCCGTATCTCAGGGCACCAGTACGATCAAGAAAGGCCCAAGCCAATCCCGAAGCTCTCGAGGGACTCTCCGATATCAACAACGTCTGATACATGTCACAGCTGACACGTGGACCGACCATACCGGACAATCTCAAAGCCTGAGGATCTCTTCGGGACATTATACTGATGGATAACTTTCCACGCGTCAAAAGACGCAAATCAGCTCCGGATAAAGCGCTTCGGACTTCGCCAAAGTTCAATTCGTTCGATGGCTTCTTAATTACTATTTCCTCTCTCAATACAACATAATCCTTCTCTACGTGTTCGAGTTGAACGATTATTGGCACTTCGGAGACATCATTTGGTAGAAAAACTCCGTTGAAAATTAAAGAAACGTGAATTGATGGGGCCGATGCCGAGGAAGCCGACACTATAGCCGTACCACCTGCACCTGACATAAGCGATCTGTCAACGCCCATAGTTGGTTCCAGCAAAGATGTAAATTGTTCGGTAGATAGAGCTCGATAGCGGGACAATTGTCCTGTCAAACTGGCGTACGGCTCCCAAATGAACGAGACATGCAGACGTTCTTCGCGTAATAATTTTCTATAATCCCTTGGTACTCGTCTCCAAACACCGCACACTTTTCCCGTTGCATTCTGATAAACACCACCTGCGGCATCGATCGTTTGCTCTTCCAAAATACTACCAGAACCATCGATGAATTGTATACTCCTTGGTCTTGGTGTCCCAGCTGATAGGTAGAACGAATAATACAAATTCTTACGGTGGAACGTGAAACGGCCGGTTGCTAAGTAATTGTAGGCGCTGTTATAATTGGATGTTGGCACTGTGTCCTCACGGCGCACTGCCTGGGACGTTTTTCCGGTTAACAGCGTACCGAAATCTGTCGAACGATATTAAAATAAAAATCAATTTCAAGTGAAATAAAGAAGAAGAAGAAGATGATGATGATGATGATGATGATGATGATGATGATGATGATGATGATGACGACGACGACGACGACGAAGAAAAAATTGTAGGTTAAAATCAACTTCTAGTTTATGATATTCGCCTGGTAAGCCCGGCATTATTACTTAGGACTCTTTTCGAAGAGCACGTAAATAACTCGACGCTCTCTAAAACGGTACACCGTAAAATCATAAATAACGATTTTCGCAAGTAACATTGGACCGGTAGGATGGCGTTCCTCTCGTACCGATAAACTTCGTATATCAGCGGCATATCTTTTACCGCGATCGTAGGTGCTAACTTTAATCCCGTGCGAATTGAGTTATAGCGTTTCGCTTAGAGAAAAAGAAGGAAGGAGATAGAGATAGATAGATACGGAGAGAGAGAGAAAGAGAGAGAGAGAGAGAGAGAGAGAATGCCAAAGCAAAAGTAACACACACAAAAAAAAGAGGGAAAAAAAACAGCGAAGAGAAATTACGTTTTAAGCTTCGTTCCTCTTCCTCCGACGTCAATTGAGCTGGTAGATCCTGAACCGTGTCGGTACCTGAAACAAATCGAGACGAGACGTTAGAAAATTTATGTGAAAGAGAGAAAAATAAATAAATAAATAATCAAATAAAGAAAGAAAGAAAAAAAACAAAACGAAATAAATAAATAAAAGAAAACTAAACCGACAGTGGATAAGAATAACCGAAGAGAATCGAAAAGGTGATTACTAGAATACAAGTCCCGGTTACGAGTTTGGTATCGACGCTGGTCTATGTAGGTTGGTATGAGCGAAGAAAAAGAAAAAAAGAAAAAGAAAAAAGAAAAAAAAAAGAAACAACAACGTAAAACAAAAATAACTATCGCTACTGCTGCTACCAAGAGAGAGAGAGAGAGAGAGAGAGAGAAAGAGAGAATCTATATATCCTATTCAGTCGCGATCAGTGTGTACGAACCATAAAGAATGATCGTACAGTAAGGAAAAGAGCCGGTTGGCGCCAATCGTAAGCTACTTCGAATGTTACTTTTATGGACGCTTGCCGCGTCGATCTCATCGCCTTGAATACTTTAATTGCTAAAAATAAGTAAGTAAGTAAGTAAATAATTAAATAAATAATTATGTACGTAAGATCCTATTCGTTCAAAATTTTACCAAATTGATAACATAAAAGACAAATATGATTGTCCTCTTCTTTCTTCTTCTTCTCCTTTTTTTTCTTTCTTTGTTTTTTTGCTTTGTTCCTTTTTTTTTTCCCCTTTCAATCGACCAAAACGATCTTCTCGTTTGCAATTGAAGAAGAAACGACGGCGCCATATGTTTCCACGCGTGGCGCCACTTCTCCCAACGTTTAATGCAAACGATAACTTACATACTCTTCAATTACTCGACAGACAGACAGACAGACAGACAGACAGACAGACAGAGAGGGAGAGAGAAGAAAGGAAAAAGCAACAACAACAACAACAACAACAACGACTACGACGACGTCGACGAAAAAGAGAAGCGAACAAGTCACTCCTGCCTTCGTGAATACGATCGTGATTGGGATTGCGATGCGGATACAGTGATCCAGCGCGAGATATCGATTTCTTTGCTTGTCTCTACTGAGAAAGCGTAACGAGCGTTGACGAGTTAACGCGCAGGTATACATACATACATACATACATACATACATACATACATACATACATACATACATACATTACAATAACAACACGTACGTATATTAAACAACGCAAAATTTATTTGGTATTAAAATGAAAAAAAAAATTGTCTTTTTTTTCTTTTCAATTCATTCCGCATTCAATATGTTTCTCATTAAACATTAGTTATAAATTTCGCGTTAGTCATACGTAGTATATTTTGTATTACGTAGTACTCGTCAGTACATTAATGTCACGTTATTGTTTATTTCTTTTTCAATATAAACCCAAACATCACCGTATACGTATAGACTCGTATACAAAGATCGAGAGAGAGAGAGAAAGAGAGAGAGACTGAAAGAATAATATTATGAATGATTGTCCTTAGTATATTCCGCTACAACCCGCATTAATATATACGTAAGTAACATACGTACTTACGTACAGTCTGCGGATGACCTCCGAAGACGCAGATCGTGGGTCTTGGCAAGCGACCTCGAGTGCCCTCGAGGTAAACTCTCGAAGGTAACTCGAAAGAAGGAGAAGAGAACGAAGAATGAAGAGAAGAGGAGAGGAGTGAAGAGAAGAGGAGAAGAGAGTTCAAGGAGGCGAGAGAGATTCAAACGAGTTCCATCCTATTTCGTCCATTTTTTTTTTCTTCTCCGCCATATATTTTCGATCGAACGAAGCGACTGTTAAATGGCAATTAAGGGATCAACATGTGGTTACTTACTTTTTACGTATGTATCTTTAAAGCTCTATGAGAATCGATGTGACAATTCAATCGCTAAGATGACGATTCGGATGAAGAATCATAAAAATGATACGTACTAATCGCTAATTGTACGACGAGATAATCTCAATATTGATTAAGACGATAAAATGAGACTGTCATATCGATTAACAATTATCAAATGCAAAGGACTTAACGTAAATAGGATATAATATTTTATTTTTCTCTTTTTTCTACTTCATCTTTTTTTTCAAGATATTTTTCAATGATCTATCTTACACATATAACCTTTCAAACATATCTTTGGAATCCCATGGATTTCAACCCCTTACTTTCTTAGTTTTAATTAAGGATAAATATGTAAAACACCTTTTATCATTTATTATTCCTAGAAACATTAATTCACCAACTAGAATAGTAAATCAAGTTTAAGTCACGTTCTGGTGTTCAGGATTTGAGTATTAAAAAACAAACAAACAAAAAAAAGGAAAAGAGAAAAGAAATCAAATTGCAAGGAGCAAATCGTATGCCAACTCTGCAAATCGTGTTTGAGGAATGAGAGAGAGAGAGAGAGAGAGAGAGAGAGAGCCAGCCAATTCCTTAGAATTTTTCCTTTTCTTCTACTTACTCGCGATAGCAATTGGAATTTTGCTGTGACCTTTAAAATCTGGTTTCTCGACTTAGCGCTTGTGTCGTCGTACACGGAAGGAATGCTGGATTAATATACATATATGTACATATATGTATATATATATATATATATACACATATGATCATAGAAGAGTAACAATTCAACGAACGAATTTATAGCAACTTGGACTGATCTTTTGTCTATTTCCCACGCTTTTCCCATCCTTGTCCTTTTCTTTATCTTTCTTTTTTCTTTCTTCTTTCTTCTCGTACAACACCATAAGTAAATTGGAATGTAGCTTTTGTAATCATACCTAATCCAGAGTTATACGTTCGTATAAGAAGGAGAAAGAAAAATGAGGAGGGTTGAGGTGGGGTGGGGTGGGGTGGGGGAGAAAGGAGAAAATGGTAACTCGGTGAATAAGGAACTCGTAAAGAAAACGTAATGCCATGACGCAAAATGCGCAGGAGGGAATGTATGCTCGACGTTCTAACGTTTTAACATGCGCCTGAATTGTTAAAATACCCCCTCCCCCATCCACTCTTTCTCCATCCCCTTACCCCTAGCCCTTTCTTTTCCCGTCGATAAATAGCATTTGCATGCAGGAGTTATATTTATTGTAACACTTTTAGAACCGAGCTACGCGAATTCTGAGTCTACGTATATACATACATATATATATATTGATATATAATTATATACGTATATATAATTTCGTTGAAAGCAAAGCAAATATATTTGTCGTCGTAGTAGTTATCATTATTATTATTATTATTATTATTGTTGTTGTTGTTGTTGTTGTTGTTGCATATTATTATTTATCGACTGTTGATTTTGTTCGAGCTGAAGTACACATACGTTCTTCTTTTTTTCTCTTTTATATTATGTTAAAAGCGTAGAACTTTCGTGGACAAAAAAAAATGATTTTTCTTTCCTCATCGTTTTTATATATTAATATTATTTTGATCTAGTATTTAAAAAAAGAGTGACAGAGGAAGAAAGAGAGATTTCTAATGCTGATGATATCGCGTATATAAAGCCAATAAAAAAAAAAAAAAAAAAAAAAAAAAAAGAAATAGAAAAAAAAAAGGAAAGCAATGTTACGAAAGAAAACAGAAATTCAAGCGTATCATTGGCACATATAAATAAAACAGTGATATATGTTTTCGTGGTAAAGGGGCAAATACTTTCGAAGGAGAAAGTCTGAACGTATGCCAAAATGAATTTCTCATTATTTAGTAATTAACGATTTGTTATATACATAGATATAATACTATATAACTTTGTCCACTTTCCATTAGCTTCGAGGAACTTAAGCGATAAAGGTGAAGATCATACGAAGAAGACGAAGACGAAGAAGAAGAAGAAGAAGAAGAAGAAGAAGAAGGAGAAGAAGAAGAGGAGGAGGAGAAGGAGGAGGAGAGACGAAAAAGGGAGAAAGATAGTCGATAGGAGTAAAGTCCTACATACACAGAATCTCCTTCGCTTTTCTCGCGACCTTCCACCTCTTCCCCGTACCACTTTCCCTCCTTCCATCACCTTCTTCTTTCCCCTCCTCACCTCTTCTTCCACCATCTCTTCTAGTCTATTCTCATTCCGCATGCTCGCACGCGTTATGCCCCGATCATTACGTATGCTAATATTTACATTTAGATTGCACGGCTTAATCGAAGTGACGCCATGCAGTAATATAGCCGGCGCCATGGCGCTAAACCGTGGCGCCCGCCCTCTCCTCGAGCATCGCTAACTTCTTCCTCCACCCTCCTCTCTCCTCCTCTCTCCCTCCTTTTCTTCCTCTTCCCTCTCTCTCTCTCTCACTTCTTCTCCCTCTTCCTCCTCTCACACTCTCGCTCTCTCACTCTCTTTATCATCCGCTTCACTTTTTTCTACGTCTCCTCTTTTTTTTCTCCCTTCCTCCTCCTCCTTCTCCTCCTCTTCATCCTTTTTTTTTATTTTGTTCTTTTTTTTCTCCTCCTCCTCCTCCTCCTCCTCCTTCTCTTCTTCTTCCTTCGTTTTTACCCTCAAACCAATTCGCTCTCTCTCAGAGTCGTTCAGTCGTTATCATTGGCACGACCTCGTCGTCCGTCGTAGTAGTAACAGCATATAAAACTTCACCATTGCGATCTCTTATCCTCAAAGATATGTACGAGTTTCGATTCCATCATACTCTTATTCTTATTATTATTATTATTATTATTATTATTATTATTATTATTATTATTATTATTATTTGTAGAAAAGAAATTGTGATTGGTCGTTGTTGCAGTTGTCGTCGTCCTCGTCGTAGTTTTCACTGGCGCTTAGAGATAATGTTATTCGAAGGTTATAAACCATAGTTCATAATTTATATCCAGGCTAAAGTTATAAAATAAATCTATATTTATACGAATCGTTAACTCGTTGAATTTATAAGACGATCGTATAAGCAACGAGATGCAAATCTATCTGTAATACATATTCTAAGATGGAGGAGACGCTTTTCGTTTTCGTTTTCTTTATCTTCTATCTTTCTTTATATCTATATATATATATATATATATATATATATATATATATATATATATATATAAATTTTCTCGTTCGTTCGATTCGCATTAAGAACGGCTGAAAGACTCAAGAAGTTTACCGTTTGGATATTTTTTTTTTTCCTTCGAGCGACGATAATCGCGACGATTGATGCGTTAGAAAAAAAAAAAAAAGGAAGAAAGAAATAAATAAATAAATAAAAGAACGATTAGAAGAAATCATGTAAGTATCTGTCGCATGATAAACGACATGGAATTAACTTTATATCTCACGATAAAGTTCTCAAGAAAGTTTTCTACGGTTTAACGTTTTAATCGATGTAATCATCGTCAGATAAGAAACGTAGGATATATATATATATATATATATATATATATATATATATATATGTGTAATAATTGGTTAAGAATTTTATATAAAAATTCGATAAGATACTTTATTATAACTATTACGACATTTAATACTTTTCTGATTTATCGTATAGTTTCTTTATTCTTTTTTTTTTCGTGGCAACGTAGAGTTCATTGAACTTCGTTTAATTTTTAAACGTAAGAAAAGAAAAGAAAAAAAAAAGTTCTCTTCGTTATATTATTTTTTACATGAGAACCGGTCTAAAACGATTTTCCTAGCCTTTCTAACGAGTACGTTTATTAAAAATGTCCAAATAAGAGACGAAAAAGTAAATCCTTGGAAAAGATGTTTCCAAAAAGAAAAAATTAAAAAGAAAAAAAAAAAAAAAGGAGAAAAGCAAAAAAAAAAAAAAAAAAAGAAAGAAAAAAAGGGAAGAAACAGCTATAAACCATAAACCGTTTAAGGACGAAACGCGGTAGTATGGACGTTAACGAGCGTGATATTAAATACTCGAGAAGTATTTCTACCAGAGTGATACACAGCTTTTAGTACTTTAATGAAGCCATCGTAAGAGAAAAAAAGAGAAAGAGAGAGAGAGAGAGAGAGAGAGAGATGGAGGAACTTTTATCGTATTATAATGAACGGTGTCTAGACACGATGAAACTTCTCGAGAACTATCTAAGAAATAGGAACAAAGAATCTAACTATAAATCTAACATTATATATATATATATATATATATATATATACATATATATATATAAATATGTGAGCGTAAATATCGATATCTATCGAAAGAAGAAACACAAAGTTTTCAAATGATTTAACTAATGAACGAGACTCGTAGGACGTTGATGATAATCAGTTTAATAAATCATCGGACTCGTCGAAATGCACTAGGACGCCATACTGTTTGCATTAGTTAATACTAATTAATAAAAAGAGACAGAGAGAGAGAGAGAGAGAGAGAGAGAGAGAGAGAGAAGGAAGACTTGGAGAGAAACTCGTCGAACGACTTAGCATTTAGAAATTGACATTAGGAAAGATCTATCGATCAGTTAATCCATTAGATGATTAAAACCTGTAGAACAAAAATATTATAAGAATAAGAGGGAGAAGATTTTCGATTCGATAACGATTATTTTGTCATCATGTAAATGTGTATATGATCGATCGATAAGAACTTACCAAAGAAAGAGAGAAAGATAGAAAAAGAAAGGGAGAAAGAGAGAGAGAAAGAGAGAGAGAGCGCGAGAGACGAAAGAAAAAAAAAGGAAAAAAAAAGAAGAAGAAAAAAAAGAAAAGTATAGACGACAAAGAGTCGCTTGGTAATCGTTTGATAAATGATTTATGCACGGCACTTGACTCTCATTAATGCTTCGTGTCTCTCGATTTATTGTGATCGTATACTTTCGCAATGTTTACGAGCAGAGAAAGAGAGAAAGAAGATACAAGAGCGAATTTTCCTTTGGAGTCTGACAATTCCAACTTCGAATATTATTATTATTATTATTATTATTATTATTATTATTATTATTATTATTATTATTATTATTATTATTATTCCCTTTCATCGTTGCGAATCAACCTAATGAATTTACGGGACAACGATGAACATTTTCGACGACGCATAGTCGTTCTTTTATAAAAGACGAATAGAATTCAAAGCGTTTTTTATCGAGTCCAATCGTTACGAATTCCTTCTGGAATTCAAATTTATCTCTTTCTCTCTCTCTCACTCTTTTTCTCTTTCTCGCTACGAGGTTGTCCACGCCTGTTACGGTGTGGGATCGGTTTATTACCATGGACGAAATAGGTTCTAGTAATCTATCGAATAAATTCATAACTTGCATTAGTCTTTTATCTCTTCCTTTCTATCTTTCTTTCTTTCTTTCTTTCTTTCTTTCTTTCTTTCTTTCTTTCTTTCTTTCTTTCTATCTCAAAGCACGCGCACACAGACAGTAATAATATAATCGTACTGGTTGCATTCAACGAGCAAAGTAGTCACGGCCGGTTAAAGCCAGACGCAATAGCCATGAAGAATTTTACACGAAAGAATTTAATAACATATATATATATATATATATATTTATATATATATATATTTTTTTTTTTAATATAAATAAATTATAAATTTAGATTGTTTAGAAAAAAAAAAAGGAAATGAAAGAAATCTATTTTAATTCTTCCGTAACACAAGTTAATTAATTTAATCGATACGAACGTAATCCTTTTTTTTTTTTTTTCTTTGTTTTCATTTTTGTCGTCGCAATCGAAAGGAAATTTATGTACTACCGTCTGAAAACTTACTGTAATCACCGGGACACGATTTGCAGCATCTTCCCGGAAGTAAGACTGGTTCGTCGCAGGTGGGCTTCGGACATTCATTCTTAATGTTGCGGCATTGAACCCTAGCGATGATACGTCGTTTCTTTTGCACCTAAAGCAAGAAAGATAAAAAATATTAGGTGGGAGAATATTATAAAATAAATTATTGTATACATATATATATCCTCGTTCGATCGTATTTCAATTAAATTTAACTCAGTCCAAATTAAATTCAACGCAACGCAACGCAACGCAACGCAACGCAACGCAACGCAACGCAACGCAACGCAATGAGAGTAAATTTGAAACAACTGCTATCTATTTCATTGATCTAACCTCAGGAATAATGAATCGTATCTATCCTGTTATCAATAACTTATATATATATATATATATATATATATATATATATATATATATATATATATAGTGATTACTTTGGAAAGTACCATTGGTGTGTTTGTCAAGTATGTAAATGAAGCACAAAGTGTATATTACTTCTTTACGCGTCATTGAATTTATCCCATAGGAAGTAATTGCTATCTGATAGAGTACATAGAAAGAACTAGTTTATCAGAAATGAATAAATCGAAAAAAGATATATAAAAAAAAAAATTACTTTCGAGATGATGTCTCTTTCTTTCTCTCTCTCTCTTTCTCTTTCTCGTCAGAGATATCAGATTATTATAAGTTAACAAAGTCAAAAAGGAGAGAAGAGTTAGTCATAAATTGTAGAGTTTAGGGTGGGAATTACGAGCCAATCTAGTTATCTCTCTCTCTCTCTCTCTCTCTCTCTTGCTGGGTGTGAAGGAGAGTTTTTTCTTTTTTTTTTTTTTAACATTTATTTTTTTTCCCCTTTTTCTTTTTCTTTCTTCTTACTTTTATAGAACCTGTGGGCGCAACCCGAAAAAAAAAAAGGAGAATCCATGTTCCATGGTTTGGCCATGGATAAACCGAAGAGAGGCGGAAATTAAGTGAAGGGTTTTATAGAGCCATGCGACATTCCTGAGAAACCGAAAGGATCGAGAAACAGAGAGAGAGAGAAAGAGAGAGAGAGAGAGAGAGAGAGAGAGAGAGAGAGAGATTGAAAGTCGAGGACATTAAACTCTACCCGTTGCCACGATTTTCGATTATTTCCCTTTTTCTTAATCCCAAACCTGAGAATTCTTTGGTTATTCGCAAACCTCCTTGCCGATTCCCTTCTGACGATAAAAATCACGGTCGTCGCGGAAGAGTCAAAAATATCATCGGTTTCGATCAGATAAGAAAGGAAAGAAAGAAGGAAAGAAGGAAGGAAGGAAGGAAGGAAGGAAGGAAGGAAGGAAGGAAGGAAGGAAGGAAGGAAAGGAAGAATGAAAAGGATTACTTGGAACTCCTTCGAGTTCTTCGTTTGAAATATTTCCATTTGGTATGAGAGAACCAAACATAACTAAAAATCTTGCTTGGCAATGGTGTTGAGAGGTTGACTCGAGGTCGGTAGAGGTTGGATGAGAGGTGTTAGGGATGAGAGAGGTAAAGAGGGATAAGGTGGCGCGAACAAGTACGAAGGATGCTGTGAGAGATGGAGAGAGAGAGAGAGAGATAGAAAAAAGGAAAGAAAGAGATAGAGAGATAGAGAGAGAGAGAGAGAGCGAGAGAGAGAGAGGATGTAATCTTCAAAGAACGAAAACGGTCTCCCTCGTATTTGCTCGGCTGATTCATAGGCGCGAGGCGCGTCTGTCTCTTCTTCTTCTTCTTCTTCTTCTTCTTCTTCTTCTAACACACCAAGACCGCGGACCTATCAATAGCCCCTCATGTACACTCGACAGAGGGACTGTCATTCCACCCAACTCTAAAAATAGAGTTCGCGCGTTCGTCCATAAGCTCTTCCTGCGACTATACCCACGGACAACATTTCCCTTCTCTCTCTCTCTCTCTCTCTCATTCCTTTTTTTCTGCTCATTTTCTATCTTTCTAGCTTAACACGCCTACATACATATATATATATATATATATATATATATATATATATATATGCACATATACATAAGTACAGAGATAAGTACATAGAGACGAGCATGCACGGGTCTCTTAAAATTTAATTTAAATATAGTACATTTTATTTGTCTCACGTTTTAATCGTGACGAATCGAAATCGAAATACACAACGTGGCCGCTGTATAAACGTCTCGGAGATCAAGGGGCGAAGGGAAATGGTCAGAAAGGGATGATGGAGGGACGGAAGGAGAGGGGAAAAAACGTAGGAACTAAATTAAAGGCTTCTTCTATTACTGATAGTAGTCAAGGACATCTTATAAGAAGATCGATAGAATTGAACTCTATTAAAAATGATCGCAAGCACGGTAGGATACAACGATCGATCTATGGATCTATCGATCTATCTATCGAATTCATGCAAATGCACACGGAAAAAGAGAGAGGAAGAGAAAAAGAGAGAGAGAGAGAGAGAGAGAGTGTGTGAAGATCGAATTAAGTGCATTCCTTTTCTTTTCTGCCTTTATTTTTATTTGTTTATTTGTTTGTTTGTTTTCTTTTTTTTAATCGCAAACAACGAAATATTATGTTATAGTTGATATAATCAGTATGATATGTTTACAGAAGAAAATTATCTCCTCGAGATTATAGAGTTTCTAGATGTTTAATGAGAACGGAAAGGACGATTAAGATACTAAACACTAAGATTATTCAAGTAGGCGCTTGAGAATCGACTCCAAAGAGTGGTTATATACGTGTGTGTGTGTGTATGTGTGTATGTGTGTGTTTGTGTGTGCGTGTGTGTGCGTGTACGTAACTGATAGATAACTTTATTGACTGGTCGCATTACCATACGGTAGCTGGTGTATATATATATATATATATATATATATATATATATATATATACACAAATATATATACATATATATATATATATACCTGTACTGTCGGCTTCCGACGTACCGCAATGCCAATAGTATTGCCCTTGCTAAAGTATAGCGTGTTAAATGTTTCATTATTTCTAATTACTGATGCTTTCATTAACGCAAACGTGTTTTTCATCTTTTATTTCTTTTCTTTCTTTCTTCCTTTCATTCTTATTTTTTATTTCTTCTATTTCTTTTTATTTCTTTATTTTTTTTTTTTTTTTTTTTTTTTTTTTCTTCTTTTTTGAACGATAACGACGACGAAGACGAAGATGACATTGATGAACGATCAGTATATATATATATATATGTATGTGTAAACATATACAAAGTACAAATACACTCAACCCATAATCCTTCATTATTAATCTATATTTTCATTTGTAATAGTCGATCGTTCTTGTTGTTTGTTGTTGTTATTATATTCAATAATAAACGCCTGCGTGGTCTCACTTTCGTATCGTAATGAATGAATGAAAGAAGGAGTAAAATCGAAAGAGGAGGTATATTGCGTAGGAGGAGGAGGAGGAGGAGGAGGTGGAGGGATAAGTCGGAGTCCTCTCTCTCTCTCTCTCTCTCTCTCTCTCTCTCTCTCTCTCTCTCTCTCTCTCTGAGTATAATGGAGACGAGTATTTTAATAGGCTGCCGATATACTAACAGGAGTATATTCTGCCGTGGGCAGAATTTTCATATCTTGGCTTGCATCGAGAACTCGCTCGACTTTCTCGAAAGTAACTTGGGCGCGTTCTAATATGTGCGTGTATGTATGTGTGTGTTTGTGTGGGTGCGGATTAAATCCTTCTTTCATGATATCTTACGAGTGTCGTCGTAAACGACACGAACGCTCTCGCGTCCTCGTTTGTTTCAACACGTAATAATAATACAAATCGATCGGATCGTTTGGAAATGGACCAAAAAGAAAAAAAAGAGAGAAGAAAAAAAAAGAGAACAACAACAACAACAATAAAGACGATGACGACGTGGACAATAATTATTACAAAAAGAGGAGTAACGTGAAATTTGTAAAAATTATTTGTTAAATTAATCCCTCAAAACTAATCCTTAATAAAAAAAAAAACGGAGAATAATTAGACTCATCAAAAAGTAAAGTCGAATTTACAAAGATAATCTCGTACAATTAGCTTCTTTTAAAGTTTATCCTTTTCTATTCTGTATGCTCATCAGATAGCATTTCATTACCATTTACTGATTATTTAATGTCTTTTAACAGTGATCCTCCTCTCTCAACACCGCCCTCCTTCTCTTTATCTCAACCTCTCTTTTCCTCTCTCTCTCTCTCTCTCTCCCTCTCTCTCTCTCTCTTTTTCTTTTTCTTTCATATCGTTTGTTCCTGTCTTTAGTCGGTGGTAACGTTTAAACTACGACAACGAGCAGGTACTTTTCAAGTCGGTAATGAAATTCTGAACGACTAAAGAGAGAGAAAAAGATAGGGAGAGAAAGAGAGAATACGTGGGTAGAAATACTCGTCGGTGTGTAGACGAAACACCGATGATGACGCTATTGTTTCACCGTATATGGAACGCAAAACGGTCTGTTGTCGTCAGGAAACGTTCGGAATGTAAATGAATATCTTTACATATATATGTATATATGGTATATATATCTGAGGTAAAGCGAAAATTCGAACGAGAGTTTTTCATCGAAAGCAGGTTAATGCCAATTCCAAAAAATATATACCTATATCATGCGTACGTATATGTGTGCGTGAATGTGTGTACGAGTATATATATATATATATATATATATATATATATATTTTTTTTTGGTTTTGAAAAAAAGAAACCGTAGTAGGTGAAACGATGACCGAAATGAATTTATAAACGCGCTTTTGAAACATTTTCTCACACACACACACACACTTAAGGCGGTTTCTCATATACATAAATACATAGATATCTACATATCTTCATGTATATGTATGTATGTATCTGTTAAACCAAAGATCGGCGTTATATACGTTTAACAGAAACGCTTGCGGACGCCAGTCTGTCTCGGGACCGGGAATGGGATTAGAAAGCACGTCAACTTCTCCGTAGGTCACGTCACCCAGATTCGAGATATCGTCGTCTCCTTATGTTTACGGCATTTGTATATATCTACGGACTTTTCCCTTTTTTTTTTCTTCTTCTTCTATTTCTTTCTGTTAAGATAAGAATCAAGTTTATTTTATTTTATTTTTATTTCTTTTTTTTTTTTCAAACGAAGAGAAGAACCCGTACGGTGGTATCGATCATTGATAAAAGATTTGATAAAAAAAAAATATATATATATATGAACGATCGATTATAAATTTTTTAACTGATAATATCATATACGATCTCTTATCAATAAGATTAGAAACTATGATAACAAGTTAACCTAATTAAAAATAACATCCTATAATATCGTCAATTTCTAAATGATCCTGGAGCAAGGAGATTGTTTTTGAAAGAGCCTGTATTATGTATACGGCATGTTTAACGTTCACTGTATGTATGTATGTACATATTACATACGTATACACGTTACATACATACGTATATACACGTATAAACATGGACCTTCTTGTGTGTTCCCTTGGAGTTGTGTGTCGGGTCGGTATCTTACATAGAAATGTAATGTTGAACGCACGGACCCGGCTTCGTCCGTAGGGCGAGTCTCTCGAGACATGAGAGGGGTCAAAGGTCGAACGAACGAAGAAAAACGCACGCAAACGTAAGCGAGGGATATGTATATATAGCGTTGCTTGTACACGCGCGAAATACCTCTTACATATTTATATTACTATATTCATATACACACATATATATATATATAAAATATATAAAATATATATATATATATATGTAGTATGCGGCATAAGAATCGTGGCATACAGAACAGTGGCACACCCACTTTAATACGTACCGGAATGCATTCGCATTTGATGCAGTACATAACTCCAAACGGTGGTCCCAAATCCGCGAACCAGGTAGAACCCAACTCTCGAATCTGCTTTCCGAAGGTGCATTCTGTAACAGAGAGAATAGGAAACAAAAAAAAAAAAAAGGAATAGAAAAAGAAAGAAAGAAAGAAAAATAATAAGAAACAAAACAAAGATATACATATATATATATATATATCTATAAAAAGAAGATATAAAAACTCGCGTCATCCTATGAGAGAGCGCTTACTGTATATATATATATATATATATATATATATATATATATATTCATATATTCCTCTTTAATGACGCAATATTAGCGAAACTAAAGCATAACGTAATCGCGAATTCTTAAATTTAAAGTATAACGTAATCGGTTATCTCCTTCGATATCCTTCCTTAGCTCTCGTCTCTAACCACTTCTTCTTCCTATCCGTTCCTCTCTCTCTCTCTCTTTCTCTCTCTTTTGCACAGCTTAAAGAAATATTATTCGTCATCGATATATCGCGTATTATATCTCGAATATGCATCTCGCGTTTTATTTCGATAAATCAAACTAAGCGCACATGTTCTTCTTACGATCGACGAATACTGATTACCTACTCGAGTAATACCATGGAACACGTGTACGCTTTTCTATTATTCGTCGTCTACTCTATTTCGATGATAGACTTATACGTGACCTGTCAACCTTTCGTCGATAGTTAGAAACCAGGAAAGTAAGAGAAAAAAAAATAAATAAAAAGAAACAATCAAAATTAAAGGAGGGGAAAAAAAGAAAGTAACGTCGAGAGGGTGAATTGGGTAGGTGAATTGATAATTGATAATAAGTGTACATTTGTAACGAGTACACGTGTCGACTGTGAATGATGAAAAGAAAAGACACTCGAATGAAAGAAGTAAAGAAGATAGATAGATAAATAGAGATAGTAAAGAGAGAGAGAGAGAAAGAGAGAGAGAGAAGGTGGCAGACGGAAAAAGAGTGGAAGAGCCTGCTTGGCCGACACTCTCTGGTGCGACAAGGCCGTCGTCTCCTTTAAAAATGACGACTACAGGTCTCACACTTTCTTTTTTTCTTTTTCTTCCTCTTCATCATCTTCTTCCGCCAAAAAAAAAAAAAAAAAAAAAGAAAAAAAAAAGAAAAGAAAAGAAAAAAAAGAAAAATGAAAGAAAGAGAGAAAGAGAGAAAATAAAGAAGAAAGATAAAAAATAAGAAGAAAAAAATATGGAAAGCAAGTCCCTAACACATGTCTCTCTCTCTCTCTCTCTCTCTCTCTCTTTTTTTTTTCTTCTTTCCCACGTAAAAATAAATCGTATCGAAGATGGTCTCTCCTTTCCAGAAATAAAGATTCTCGCGTTTAAATTAACACTTATTTAGAATTTCACAATACATATTATATATCGAAATGATTCTCTAATTTTTTGTTATCTCTCTCTCTCTGTTTTTTTTTCTTTTTATAGATATACATATATAAAAATATATATATATATATATATATATATATATATATATCTAGGAATATATAGATGAGGATTAAGAATGGGGATGAAGATTGAAGCAAGTGATATAGCTAGGGGTGAGAACAGATGGATGAGTACAGGAGAGGGGTGGTGTGATAAACGTTACGTAATTGGCTTTGAGAACGTGACTGCAGAACGATAGAAACTGATCGTTCGACGGTGACAATAAATGATACGACATGTGTTTGTGAATTTGTTTAGCACAGCGTCGTCGACAGTGATGACGATGAGTGAGTGGGAAGACTATAGTGGATGTAAAAAAAGTGATGATAAAAATCCTTCTCTCTATTTTTCTCTCGTGAATACATCAACAGGGTTGATTAGGAAAGCTTTCAAAGACAAGTCAAACTTTTCACTAAGCGATAAGATCCTCCGATGATGCGTCGCGACGCTTACGCGAGTCCAATGAAATATAAGAAGAGAAAGAGAGAGAGAGAGAGAGAGAGAGAGAGAATGTATGCGTCGAGAAAGACGAAGGAGAAAGAGAGAGAAAGAGAGAGAGACAGCAAGGCTCGTTGCACGAGGTCGTTGCACCGCCCGTGCTAAGTCGTTCTAAGCGCGGACTCGGTTCTAAGCAACTCAGGAGCATGAGAGGAGAGCCTCGACACGCCACCGTATCGCAAATATGCGAGTCGAGTTGAAGTCGAGTCGTGCAGACTCTCGTTCTATCTTTTCTCTTTTTTTTCTTCTTTTTTTTTCTCTCCCTTTCTCTCTCTCCCTCTCTCTCTCTCTCTCTCTCTCTGTCTATTATTCTCCATTTTTTTCTTCTCCTTTACGTTTACCCACCCCCCTCCGCCCCCCTCCGCCTGAGCAACAGCCGAAGAAAATCGTAAAAGAGAGTGAATGAAAGAGAAAGAGAGAGAGAGAGAGAGAGAGAGAGAAAATATTTGTATGTCGTCTTTCGAGAGAAAAAAGAAAAAAATAATCAATAAAAGAGAGAAGAAAATAAATAAATAAAAATGAATGATCATAATACGAAAATTTATAATCCCTTCATCTTATCAATTCATTGATAATCCGACAATTATCGACGTGATGGAGGACATTAGAAGAAAAAGAAGAAGAAGAAGAAGATAGAAAGAAAGAAAAATATACAGGAGAAGAAGATATAATATGGCGATTAGTCAGGATTCAGGATTCTTCAGGACCTTTCTAAGAATTTCATCGTGAATTCCAGGAAGAACTTGTTTCACCGTTCTTCTAGTCTAAAGCACTATTCTCAGATAGTACGAGCGGGTTTAAAGA